CTTGACCCTAATGACCTAAAGAACTACCGTCCAGTATCAAACTTACCTTTTCTTTCCAAAGTTTTGGAAAAAGTTGTTCTTGCACAACTTAAAGATCACCTCTCAAAGAATAACTTGTTTGAGCCATTTCAATCGGTATATAGAGAAAACCATAGTGCTGAGACTGCTTTGCTCAGAATTGTCTCTGATCTACTCAATGCTGCAGATGAGGGTTTGATATCCATTCTCTCACTTTTAGACCTCTCTGCAGCATTTGATACTTTAGACCACAACATCATGTTGAGTCGTTTGTCGGACATGTTCGGAATATCTGGCACCGTACTTGAATGGTTTCGATCTTACATCAGTGATAGATCATACTTTGCTGTTGTTGAGGGCATGCAATCCTGTCATCAATTGCTGGAATTTGGTGTGCCCCAGGGGTCAGTACTAGGACCTGTGCTGTACACTATGTACACCTTACCCCTTGGTCGTACCATCAGACACCATTCCATGCCCTACCATATGTACGCAGATGACACACAACTTTACAAGTCTGCAAAACCCAACAAAATTCAATCTCTTTTAGAAAGACACCTCAGAATGTTTTCAATCTGTAAAAGTATGGATGACTGAAAATAAATTGAAATTAAATGATGACAAAACAGAAATCATGCCATGCTCAACCAGCTCAAAGATAAATGCTCTTGATGTAGAATGTCTCACCATTGGCAAAAGTACTGTCGCTTTTTCGAACAAAGCAAAAAATCTAGGAGTATACTTAGACAAAGACTTGTCCATGGAGACCCCACGTAACCGTCAATGTAAAATTTCATACTTAGATTATTATTATTATTATTATTATCATTATTATTACAATTTTTTGGTACGTCAATCACGAAACTAGTATCAACTTCACTGTAAAGTGACATTTTAGGAACGTTTCCTTAGAGTCTCAAATAGAGGAGTGAACCATTAAATAGACGGCAATTTTTGGTACGGCCTGAACAAAACCCGGAAGCGGAAGCGCTGCCAATTGCTTCCGGAAAGAGGAGAAATTAAAACAGCCTTTCAAGAGTGTCAAAAGTGGAACACATTGTAACCCACTTTCGTGAGTCCCCAGACTCTGAAGAAAGAGAAAATAAGGAATAAAACCCAGAGACACCGTGATGTTTTACAACGTAATATGCGCTGGTAAATGGTAACACTAATGAGGCATAAGTAATTTTGCCCCGAAGTGTAAGTAAGCACCCGGGTTAACATAAAATAGAACAGAAAGTTCGCAGTAAGTTCATGTTACCAGTATGTGTATCACAGAGAGTCATTAGAAAACGAAATGTGAAAACTAGCGAACACCAATTTCACGTGTCAACAACCATTTTCCTCAGCTTCAGATCGTCTTTTACCTACAGAGGAAAACGTTGGTGTTGGTAAAAGGAACATTTCGGACAAGAGAAGTTTAGCCCCGTCAACGTTTTTAATGAGCTTGACAGGTGAAGAATTTGGAACCCTTGATCCTAGGTGTTATCCCAGAGTCATGGGGTGCATTTGAATGAACAACTGACTCTCGTGTGGTGTCTGTAAACCAAAGTTCACAGATGGCGCCCGGGTGAAAAGTGTAAGACTTTTATGTTTGACTTCACGGCATACTGAGGAGCAGAGTCAAAATTGAAACCAAACACTCTTCCGCTACATTTGTAATTGCCACCTTTTCAGCGAATTAAGAATGTTTAAGATAGCTCAGCAAAATATGTCTGCACCGTACATGAATTTTGGAGCGTGTTTTTGAACGGAGAGCTCGGGAATTAGAGTCACATTCACAAGTTTGGATCAAACAAATTTTTTTAAGCTTTAAAGTTCTACACTACTAGATCTATTAAAAGGAAAACGTTCTTATAGCATGGGAGTAACTGAGCAGCAAAAGTAACGCACTAGTTCAGCAAAGCTTACAGAAAACGTTTTTGGAAGTTAAAAAAAAAAAATTTCTCACACATCAAGAATAAAGTTCAAAATTGAATTCCAGCGGATGATTATTGTATTATGACCTCAATTCTAAATTCACTTCAAAGAAAGTGACCCAGAAGCTCTGTGTGTTCTTTTGTCTAATTATTGTCTCTCACTCTCTCACTCTCTCACTCTCTCACTCTCTCACTCTTACTCTCTCTCAATTTCTCTCTCTTTCTCTCTCTCTCTCACTCTCACACACACACACACACACACACACACACACACACACACGCACGCACGCACGCACGCACAAAGAAACAATCTCTTTCTCTGTGTCTACATAGAATCTAACCTACCTCTATCTTTTTGTGGTAGTCTGCATGCGTATTCTATGAATATAATAGATGCATGTAAGTGCGCAGGATTTAGAATAAAAGAAAAAAGAAGACAGACGGAGGTAAAGATAGAGACATAATAAGAGGAAAGACAGACAGAGGTACAGAAAACACACACAAAAACACTCTCACACACACACACACACACACACACACACACACACACACACACACAGTCATACACATACACACATACACACGTACACACACATACACACATACACACATGCATACATACAGAGAG